CATTTAGAATTTAAGATTGTGGATTCAAATTTTTCTTTCGATAACTCGTTGTAAAAATATTATTTTTCTTTGAATATAATTTAACATTACATTCAAAAAAAAAAATAACGACATTATCTGTAATTAAACGCCCATGAATAAATGCAGATTGAAATTCTGAAACTATAGAATGCAGCTAAGGCTTAAGTCTATCAGCTAAGATCTTAGAGATTAGCTTATATGCAACATTGCATAGACTTATCGGTCTAAAATCCTTAACCTGGGTGGGTGAGTCAACTTTTGGGACAAGACAGATGAAAGTGTGATTAATATTTGGGTCCAGATAACCAGTTTGAAAGAAGCATTGTATAAATTTAATCACACCTTCTTTGATGGTAGGCCAATGGAATTTATAGAATCCCGCATTAAAACCATCTAGCCCAGGCGTCTTGTCAACATTCATTTGCTTGAGAGCTTGGAAGATTTCTTCTTCTGTAACCGGCTGTGTTAACTGGTAATTCATCTCTGGGGTTACTCTCGGCTGGATGGAGATGGTCTTAGGGTCAAAAGATTAAAAAAGAAACTGAATTCACAATAAGCTCCACTCCTAAGTTTTCTGGACGTTTACAAATTGATCTTCTAACATTTTAAAACTAGATTATGACCAATGTAAATCAATATATGTTTTTTTAGTTATGACCAGTGTAAATATCAAATTATAAATCATGATGGGGATATTTATTACTGAAGTTATTAAGTTGAATATTTCTGAATCATGAGGAGGAGGAGATGATCTTATTTCATATATGTGATTAAGCTTATTAGTAATCGTCACACCACAAATTTTCCTATAAAGTAACACACGGATACTAGGCACACGCATCGAACATAATACATTATATAGTACTTACGAAAACACCATATTATAACTGATATCTTTTTGTTTTAAGACAGGATTGGACCAAACTGATTCTAGACATTTGAGGTGAAACGGGAGCTTTCCAAAATGTTGTCGGCGTTATTGAGTGCAAAGTCTTCACGTCTATGGAACTCTTTAATCTGCAACCAAAGGGTAGATATAAATCGTCGTGAATATAATGGACTGATTAACTTATGTACGATGATACGAAATTGCGAAGGACGAACGAGACTACATCCAAGCAAATATCATTTAGAAAATTTATTATGTTTTAATATTTTAAATATAGATCCTATTTATATATTAAAATTCATAACTAAACAAATTAGGATTCTAAAATGTTTTATAATTTTGACGACCTTGTGCACTAGCAATTCCTCCTATATAAACAGTCCTAGAATTAGGATAGCGTACCTGATCATAAGGCAATTCTTTGAACTGTGGCAGAACGAGGCGGTCAGTGAATTCAATGTATGAAGCAGGGACTAATTTGGTTACACCGTCTGCAAATTCTACTGGTAGCTTTTCTGAAATCGACGACACTTGTAGCAGTAGCCCATCAGTACTCACTGAAATCAATCAACAATTTAATTAATGGTGAAAGTGTTTAAATTTTATAGACTTCCAACTCAAAAGTAATTGATAATAAGTTGATCGGCTAATATATCTCATATCACATTTTAAATATTTCATGTTTTTTAATCTTAATTTACGTATTTCTAACTTATAAAAAGAGTTAACATATATAGATATGGTACCTTTGAGAACTCCTCCGTCATGGTTAAGATCAAATCCATGTTCCTCTAGATATTGTATGATGCATTTGATATCACTAAAACGTGTTTAAGTCGATGAGCAGCAAATGCGAGATGGTTCAACGTGTAACCGTTGATAAACGCCCAAGCCGCCAATTCATTTTCTCTTCAGGGTTCACAATAGTAACGTAATTAGTTAGCTCAAATTAATCATCAATATGTATTACTTAATTAAAAACTTATTATATTTAGAGAATGCATAGTATATATATATATATATATATATACTCGGCAATTTGCTTGAACTCGCTCCATGTTGGCTTCTCCCATATTAAAGACCCAAGAATACTTGAAAGAAGGGCTTGCTTACCACCTTCTGGTTTCAGATACTTCCTTATTATCGCCTAATAAACCATTGATTACTTTTAGAATCAACAAAGATATATATCTTATATGTTAAAACGTTATAATAACCCTAAAACCATAATGTGTTTGTGTCATTAATACCTGTGATTCAGGGCTTAGTTCATCCACAAGAATCTCACCCATAACAAGTCGGGGTAAGGGTCCGTTGCCTAGGCCGTGGCCATCATCGGGGACGATAACATCGGGAGGAGAAAACCAGAGACCTCGTAGTTTCTTCTTTGGAAAATCAAGGCCACCGTCGACCTATTTTATATCCGTAATTCATGAAGAAACTTGACAGAGAGTCTATTCCATAACTGTCGACCTATCCATACAAAAAAAAACATAAAAAGAAACACAATTCATGAAATTATTTCTATTTATAATTAAAAAGTATACCAACTATTAATCTATTTCCATAAAAATATATATGTGAACAAATTCTAGTGTTGTACCAATAATCGGTAGAGGGTTTGTTTTTAATAAAAAAAAAAGTTACTTTTTTGACTCGAAAATTACAAATATATGTGATTTTATGTGTGTCAACATGTATTATTTGTACCTAAAATCTTAAATCCGATGTAACAGTGGATTCCTAAAAATCGAGGGAATACCTTAAGTGTCATGAAAGTGAAGTGGTCGTAGCAAATCTTCTCGTTGTCCAACGACTGAATCAGTTCCCATATCCTTTTCGTTGTCGGGTTCTTCCTCAAATAAGTTTTCAGTATATTCTCAAACACATTTCGAAGAAATGTTTCACTTCCTCCCTGTTACATCGAGATTATATGTATTGTCCAAATACTCTTTAAATTTTATAAAAATAAAATTTTAGAGAAAGAACCTTGAAAGATGACGTGTGAGCCAAGTCCAGAGAAGCCATGTGGGAAGGTCCTTGAGTTGTGTATTAGAAACACAGTTTTGCTTAATTGTTCTTATTAACGAAGGCATTTCGTACTTAAGTATATTCAGGGAGGCACGTTGTCCACTACTCCACCACTACGGCAAGATAATTATATTTTATTGGACAGAATGCGATTAGTTTATATTAAAGGAATCTCGTTTATCCGATTATGCTCTTCTTTATCGTTTATTTATAAGCGAACAAAATTTTAAACATGCACGAGAAAAAATATTTTATTGGACAGGAGGGGATTAATTATATAAAATCAGTCAACGAATCTTTTTTATAATTTTATCAGATAATGGACTTCCTTTATTTATTTATTAACTAATTAAACAAGAACATTAAACATTATACACCGGAGAAATATGCATTGGACGGGACGTGCTTATTTTTATAAAATCATTCATTATCAGATAATGAACTTCTTTTATTTATTTATTAACAACCAAACAAAACAAAAAGCACATGATACACGATATCTTACTATCTTAGTTATTACCTAACTCTGTTTTTTTAGAATCTTGTAGTCTTAACCTGTCCTCATTTAACCCAATCATTATCACTACCACCAGAGTTAAAAAAATTCTTATGGCCAAAATTCATCTAACGGAACGGATCATTTCAACTGAGGAACAGTCAGTTAACCAATACTACTTGTTTCATTTAGGTAACCAAAAATAACATTAGTCGTCTTTTAGATCAATTTTATTTTTGCCTTTATACAAGAAACACTTCATGATACGGTCGGTGATACTTGTCATGTTAAAGCGAGATCAGAGGTGATTTTGGATTTGTGAAGTTGTACACGTCGACATTGAAAAATAAAAATAAAAGAGATGTCGATTTTGGAAAATAGCACCAATACAATGTCGGCGTCATGGGATATTCGCAATCTCGGCTCAACTTCTAACCCGTCTTATTGACGAAAACATCCGGAACAAGCTCAAGCTCATTCTTCTCTGGAACCATGGTGGGTATGAAGGAAAGATCCAATTCTGGTCCAAACTCATCCATAATTTTTTTGGTTGAATTCAATATTCTCTCCTCTCAAAAACTAAGCGCTATAAGAAGCATTCATTGTAGAATTATTATTTTTTGTTTGAATACAATTTTACATTTTTTTAGAAAGAGAAACAAGTGGAATACAAACATGATACAAATAAGATATTCCGTAAGAGATAATATGAAATAATCATATAGCTGCACAAAAAAAATAAAAAATACTATTTCATATCTTTACAAGATACGAAATATTTATACTAACAATTTTATGTTAAATGATTATAAATTGTTCAAGTAAATCCCCTATTTATAGCAACATACACGATCAAATCACACTCATAAAAATTATTTTTGGAGAAAACCGAAAAACTTCACAAATATCACATATCATACTCACCAATACATTTTATTTCCCATGATTCGTCAATAATGTGATCCATTTGACAAGTTGGTCACTCTTATTGTTGGAGATACAATCTAAGTCCCACATCGGAAGTTTGATGGGACAATCAATAATATATAAAGGGTTAGGGCCAATCCACTAATTGCCAATTGGTTTTTAGTTGGAAGCCCAGAATTAGCCCAAATTTAACATGGTATCAGAGCCCAATGTTCAAATTCTGGTGGACCTAGAAAAGTGGATACGGATATACCTCAAACCCGAGTAATGGGGGCCCGAGAAAGGGGCTTATTATCGGTCCGAGTGAGGGATCGAGGAGGTGTGTTAAGATCCATGTGGTCCTTGGATTGAAGGGGAGATTGTTGGAGATACAATCCAAGTCCCACATCGGAAGTTTGATGGGACAATCAATAATATATAAAGGGTTAGGGCCAATCCACTAATTGCCAATTGAGTTTTAGTTGGAAGCATAGAATTAGTCCAAATTTAACACTTATCAACAATAACCATCATGAGAGATAATATAAATGTTTTAAGTAATTGTCACTTCACAGTAACATAACAACATAAAGATATCGCAAAGACACATCACGATTCACGCATATATATATATATATAAATAAGATTGCACACAAACACATAAATAGTGACACAAATTTGACATATTTAGTCGAGCAAGACAAGTCTGGCTCTAGAATTTGGTTGTGAAACGGGTGCTTTCCATTATGTTGCTGGCGTTATCGAGTTCAAAAGCTTCACGTCTATGAAATTCTTTGATCTGCATCACAGTAACAATGAAAAATTGCTGAATAATAAAGTAATGCAAGAAAATGCGAATCGTTTCTTTCTTTCTTTCTTTACGTTACCTCATCATGCGGCACATCTTTGAACTCTGGAAGAACTTGACGTTGAGTGAACTCAATGTACGAAGCTGGGATTGTTTCAGTTACTTCATCTGCAAATGTTACCGGAAGCCTTTCCGAGATCGATGAAACTTGAAGCAGTAGACCATCTTGACTCACTGAAATATGTATTTCCACATTCATTTCCATTAAACAATGTATATAAAAAAGAACCATTTCAATGAAATATCTCATGAAGGGAATATGTAAAAAAACCTTTGAGGATTTCTCCGTCACTGTTGAGTTTGAATCCCTTTTCTTCAAGATGTTGTTTGACGAATTTGATATCACTGAAACGATGTTTGAATCGATGAACCGCAAAAGCAAGATGATTCAGTGTGTAGCCGTGGATAAGCGTCCATGCCGCAATTTCGCTTTCTCTTCATCGTTCATACATACAATTCCAAACTAAATTAGCTCTAACCATTAAAATAATTAATTATATAAAAAAAACAATTCAAACTCAATTCTTACTTCTTCTTCTTATTATAATTTTTTTTAGAAAAACTATTGTTCATCTATCACTTTTTTTTGTTTAAAAGTTGATCTATCATTTTATCAAAGCATTGTTAGAATTTAGAAACTACAATTTTTTGTACTTGTCCTTAATACCATCAAACCTATCAGCCAAAATCTTATTTAATAATAATTTGTTCGTAAAATATATGTACCAGTATTGTATAGTATATAGTATGGTTCGTGTAAGATTTTTTTTTTTTTTACTTACAAATAAATTAATGTATTTACAATTAGGTGTTAGCTTTTGATGGATAATTTCCCATAGACTATATTACGAACAAATTTTGAAAAAGTTAATAGTTTCTAGTACCGGTTGGCGAAAAGTGTAGATCCACATAACTTTTTACTAAAACGAAAAGAATGAATTATTTTTCAGTTTATCGATTATATTGGAAAGTAAATATATACTTGGCAAGTTGCTCGGTCCATGTAGGCTTCTCCCATATTAAAGACTCCAAAGTACTAGAAAGAACCGCTTGCTTGCCACCTTCTGGTTTCAAATACTTCCTTATTATCCCCTAATTATATAGGACCAACAAAAGCGAAATTAGATATGTTAAAAACTCATAATTAATGACAATTTTGTGTTTGTGATCAATCATGCATACCTGTGATTCAGGGCTTAGTTCGTCCACAAGAACCTCAGCTATAACAATTCGCGGCAAAGGGTCATTGCCTAGACCGTGACCATCTTTAGGGACGTGGACATCGGGAGGAGAAAACCAAAGAACTCGTAGTTTCTTCTTTGGAAAATCAAGTCCACCTCCAATTTTATATCCATAATTGTTTGTACCTAGGTTGCAACAATAATAATATACGAGATTTTGGTACGTTTTTCGAGACGAACCGAAACTTCTCCGGGTGAACAGTAACTTGGGCACGTTTTTCGAGGGAACCGAAACTTCTCCGGGTGAACAGTAACTTCGGTACGTTTTTTGAGGCGAACCGAAACTTCTCCGGGTGAACAGTAACTTCGGCACATTTTTCGAGGAGAACCGAGACTTCTCCGGGTGAACAGTAACTTTAGCACGTTTTTTAAGGCGAACCGAGACTTCTCCGGGTGAACAGTTACTTTGGCACGTTTTTCGAGGGAGGCGGAAGCTCTCCCGAAGGAATGCGGGTTCGACACGCTTCTCGAGACAAGTCTGGTTGTGCACCAAGGGAATTAGGTCAACAGTGATTCCCTCGGTAAACGCGCCAGTCACCTTATAAATATGTCCCCTTCTCTTTTCTTCAACATTTTCTTCACTTCTCCTCCTCTAAAGGTATAACTCTCTCTCTCTCATTTTCGTTTGGTTTGTAGATCCGTGGGAAGACGCTTGAGCTGCGTATCGTGACTTGGCAAACCAAGCCTCGTGTGGGTTTTGGCACCGTGCCGCCAACCTTGCTGCGCCGTGGTTCTGGTCTCGACGCGCGATGCGTTTTATGGTGCCGCGAGCTGCAGTGCCGAACCATGAGCTACCGTGACAATTTGTGTATCGTCGAGCCGGACCGCGAGCGCCGTGCCGGACTGCGAGCTACCGCGCCGGATCGCAAGCTGTCGTACCGAAGCACGAGCTGTCGTGCCGGACCGCGAGATGCCGTGTCGGACCGTGGGTTGCCGTGCCGCGGGTTGCCAAGCTGATGGTCGTGCCGCACCGATTCGTGTAATGCCGGGTCGCGGGTCTTATTGATGCCGTACTCTGCCTTATTGCCACGCCGTGTGGTGGACTTGGAACTGCGAAGCCGCGGGAGTCGAGCTTGGAGCAGCCGTTCGCCGTGCCTTGTGGCGAACTCGAAGTTTTCGCTCCTTGGGGATTGGTCTTGGAGCTGCCGCAGATCGCCTCATCGTACATTGCGAGCCGCCCCGGAGATATAGACGTGTCCTTGGAGACAAACCATCCTACCACAATCGTAATGTGGTTGAATGGTGTTGAGGCTTCATCGTTGTGAGGTGGGCCTAATTCGCGGCCGGTTTTGTTTAGTTTGCGACGAGTCTCTGATTCGTGTCTTGGTTGGTTTTTGCAAGGTTCCATTCGATGTCTTGTTTCCCGGAAGACTATGTTCGCGAAGAGTTGGAGGTTGACGAATATCGTCGATTGGAGCAAACGTTGGATGGTTTCGGAGCGGACCAAGATGCATGGTTAGGACAGTTAGAGGCTGGAGATCCTCTTGGAGATTTAGACGAGGAAAATACGCAATACCTAAACAGTCTGCTTGTTCCGGAGAATGTGGAGGCCGAGCCAAGTACCAGTCGACGTCGCGGAAAGGTTTTTGAGCGCTTGGTTTGCGAGCCTACACCGATCGTGATGGGTTTGAGTGCGACGAACATGACTACCAAGCCTCGCAAGCGTCGCAGTAAGAAAGCCGAAGAAGTTGTTGAAGAGAGCTCAGCCGAGACTTGTTTCTCGCACGGTCATGGGAAGTCGTTAAGCACGTTGGGATCTTTGACGAAAATGTTTGCGCAGTGTCAGCTGTCTAGTAATGTAGAGTTTCTTGTGCCAAAGACGCACGAACGTCCTTCAGATTGTCCGGATGGATACATATGCGTTTACGAGCCCTACTTCTCGGAGTGTGGACTCTAGTTTCCTCTTCCAAAATTTCTCACGAGCTATTGCAGTCGGCGGAATATTGCATTTTCTCAACTGTCTGTGGCTAGTATCCGGAACGCGGTCGGCCTCGTAATATTGGCTTCCAAGGAGAACATTGATGTAAACCTTCAACTTTTCGAAGAGGTTACTACGTTTTCGATTGGACAGAAAAATCCGGGCATTATCTGTGCAAGTTCGAGGCGCAATTTTAAGATTGTTTACAATGCCAGGAGTAAGACGACTGATTGGAGGAAACACTATTTCTTTGTAAAGTTGAACGAAGCATCAGTTGAAGATATCCATCTGTCATGCGATAACGTGTGGAAGATGGATCCTGGTAGTTCTTAGTTGGTTCGGACTCGACGAGGTTCGTTCCTTAGCTGATTATTGATCTCTTTCTTGTTGGTATTGCAGAGTTCACCGATCGGCCAGACGGACTTACTAAAAGCGTTCGTTCAAGTCTCGATAATCTACGGGGAAAGAGAGCTTTATCGTGGCCGCGAGTGCTTGATCATTTTCGTACTTGTGAGCGTTCTTCTATCGTTTTTTTGCTCGTCTAGGCCTTCGCTATTGCGTTTCTTACATAGAATTTTTCTTGTAGGTTATTATTCGTGTTTGAGGATGGGTGATTGCTTTCTTCCAAGTTATGATGATCAGTTTGATGAAAATGTCGTGCCTTTGAACGGGAATGTTCCGCAGGGGTTGGTTGACGAGACGGGTCAGGGTGTGTTCGTCGAGGTGGTCGAAGCAGAAGACGTGCGTGCCGAGCCAGATGTGTCTCGTCGAGCTAGGCCGGCGGAAGTGGATGCCGCTCGTGCTAGGAAGAAATTCTTGAGAGGGGCGACGGGGAGTGCTCCTCCATCTGCCGGGGGTGGACGTTCGCGGAAGAGGACTTCGTGTCGCAGTCCAGAAGCTGGGCCGTCGAACGCCGGAAGATCTGCTAGGCGTGATAAACCAGTTCGGGAAGCCTGTGAAGGAGTCGATCATTCGTTTTCTTTCAACTACGGCGCGAAGAATCACATGTTTCATTATGACGGGGGTACCTGCGCGAAGTCGGCGAGTAAGATTCGCGGTGATTTCATTGAGTTTCCTCGAGTCGATTCTCTTCTTGGGGCGGATCTCTATCGTGATGTAGCTCGTCGAAGTTTTCAGGTTTGTTTCTCCTGGCTTTGCGTTCCTTTAGTATTTACGTGTGTCTCCGGTTTCTGACTTTGCCTATCTTACAGTCGATGAGCCAGATGAACCGCTTGGTCGGTTTTTATGAGGAGAAGGTGAGGGCCGCTATGAGGGAGAATGATCTGCTCAAGGCTGCTCTGGAGGCTGCCAAGAGGTCCGTCGCTGCTCGTACGGGGGACTATGAGTCCGAGAAAGCGAAAGTTGGCGGTCTCGATTTGACGATAAGCGAACTTAGGGAGCAACTCAAGGCTGCTAAGGCGAAACTTGCGTCGGAGGTTGCGAGGCTTAGGAAGGCTCGTGACGAGATTGCTGCAGTGGAGCGTCACAAGTATACGCTCTGCCAGGTGAAAGGAATTCAGGAGTGCCTTGAGAAGATGATCAACAAAGTGACGGTTATTCCTGAGGAGAGGATGGCGAGATTGGCAGCGGATCGTCCGGCTTGGCAGCGAAGGTTTGACAAGATTGTGGTTCCGGACATTTTCGAGAGCGACCTCGAACCCCTTCAGGTGCCACCAAGAAACGGCGCTAGAGATGCCAATGAGTGATTCACCTGTTACTCGTTTCGTATGCTTGCGTTTTATTTCCCTTTCTTTTGTTGTTATGAACTTTGTCCGGCCGTTTGTGGCTCGTTGGACCGGCGTTATGTATTTTCGGCCCTCTGTTGGATCTTTGCTATGAACTTCGTTTGTTTCCCTTTAGTCTCATGACTTGGTGATTATTTTGACTTTGTTATTTCTTGTTTTTGGTTATTATCGTTGTTTTTGTGCGAGGCGTAGCTCGGACATGCTTATTGTAAAACGAGCGTGATACGTGGCTCGGCTTCGATATATATTTTGCGGGGCAAGACGTCTCTTGGCTTATCATGTATGTGTCTCGAAACGCCGAGCTTAAGAAGATGTAGTTGAGACGGACTCGTCGTACTTTTTAGGTGCGGCTCTGTTGTCCGGCTTACCCTGTGGGTGCTTTGAGGTCGGCGAGAATGTGCAAGCCGGAGCTCGGCTTATTTGTTCGGCCGCCTGCTAGCTGTTGTGCGAGACTGGGCTCGGCTTTTAAACTTTACAAAGGAAAGTTGTGGATTATTTCGCCACTGCATCCATGCGGAACGCGTTTCAAAATCGTGCGCCTGGCCAGGGTGACGATGCGGGAGCTAGGCGATCAGCGAGACGGACTCGTCCGAAAGAGCTCGTCAATGATACCGTGCTCTTGCGAGCTTGTACTTACGTTTTTGAAAAAAGAAAGAAGATTTTTTTTTGATAGCTGTGTCCCGTGAAGGACTGCCTACGTACCCTTAGAAAGGGATCAAGCCATTCGTAGTTCATATTACAAAGGTAAGCTCGGTAGGTCGAGCGGTTTTTTTTTTTTTTTTTTTTTGGCGCAAACGCGCCTAGTAGTAGTAACGTTTCAGGTTTGCGGAGTTCCACGAGCGGGGAATTGGAGTGCCTTCTATAGTTAGGAGTTCGTAGACCCCCGGTTTGACGATCTTGGAGATAAGGTAGGGTCCTTCCCAGTGAGCGCCTAGTTTGCCAGCATTTAATTCCGCCGTATTTTCGAATCTTTGCGGAGGACGAGGTCACCTTCGGCGAAATGGCGAGGCTTGACCTTTTTGTTGTAGAACTTGGCTGCTGCATGCTGATAGTTTTGGATGCGGAGAAGCGCTTAATCTCGTTCTTCCTCGAGGCAGTCGAGACTATCACGGAACATTTGATCGTTGAGAGTGGAATTGTGAACGAGCATGGAGCGCCGGAGCGTCGGGGCGCCAACTTCTGCAGGGGCGAGAGCTTCCATTCTGTAGGCTAGGGAAAACGGCGTACATCCAGTAGAGCGACCAGAGGACGCCATCGAGTTCGTCGGCCCAGACCCCTTTTTTTGTTTCAAGACGTTTTTTGATACCGTCAAAATGGTCTTGTTTGTTGCTTCAGCTTGACCATTACCCTACGGATAGCGAGGCGTGGACTTACTCAAGCGAATTCGCCAACGGGCGCAAAAACCTTCGAACTGGAGCGAAGTGAACTGAGTCCCATTGTCCGTCACAATTTCGTAAGGTACACCATGCCGGCAGATTATGTTCTTCCAAACAAAATTCTGGACTTCTTTGGATTGAATTTTGGCGTATGACTCGGCCTCGACCCACGTGGTAAAATAGTCTGTCATGATGAGAATGTACTTCTTTTGCCGGGACGCGGGAAGGGGGCCGACGATATCCATTGCCCATTGCATGAAGGGATAAGGTTGTGAAGCTGTTCGGAGAAATTCAGTCAGAACGTGTATGAACGGGGCGTGACGCTGGCATTTCTAGCAGGTTACGACGAATTTCTCGCAGTCAGAATTCAAAGTCGGCCAAAAATGGCCAGTTTTTCTGATCCGAAGTGCAAGAGCTCGTCCTTCAGAATGGTTCCCGCCAGCACCTTCGTGAACTTCGCGCATGATATCATTCGTCTCGCTACTGGTGACGCAAGTGAGAAGTGTTCCTGCTGCAGTCCATCGAAAAAGATAGAATGACTTGGATGATGATGTGGACACCCTAGATGGAGAGATAACTCTCCCATTATATATATAGATTATCTAATTTTATATTTATCCAATCTCTATTTAATATAAATTACAAAATGTGTGAATTAATTATAGTTTTAATGTTTTTTGTTTTAATAAATAAAATATGTGAAGCCCACACAAAATTAAAAGAGATAATTGGGTGAGAAGTATCAGATCTGAGTCTAATTAAATTTTCGGTTTTCTCTTTTTGATCACAAGACAATGATAATTTCAACCCCATTTTCTGCCTTTTTTACCCTTACTCGCCATAATAGAGCGACCCAAACTTATCTTCATTTATCTTCATTTCTGTCTCATATTTTCTCTCTCTGAAAACCCTTCTCTTAGTCTCATCTTCTTCTCATCGAAAACTTGTTATTGCTCCAACGAAGTACATGATTCCCGTCGTTGTCACTATTAAGTCGCCGACTCAAAGCGTCTTCCTCTCTAATTTGGTAAGCCGAAGCGTAGAATTTACACAAAGTTTTGTTTCCTGATTTCTTTTATTTTTCCGATCTTACCACCCGTCGTTTCAATTGTTTTACTCTAATTTCGACTGGTGTTTTCCAATCTTAAACTCTATCTTTTCTGTTAGGCCTATCCGGATCTACTTGAATCTCTACTTATTTTACTTAGATCTACATATAGACACTCATAATTTCCCGTGGATCTCCATTTTTAACATGCATGTTGTCATCTCCCCTTCGTAGATCTAAATTTCTTGCAGGATGACTCCTACGGAGCTTCCTTCTTGTTTATTTGCCGAGAGAGAAGAACATGCCGATGATACGGAGCAGTTGGTGATAGAACTAAACCAGAATCCGACGATGAAGATGTGTTTCCTGTAATTTCTTTGAGATTAGATAAAGTGTGAGAATTGGATGTAAGAGATCTAGTATGTTAGACCTCTATGTGTTTATATAAATGTCCATTCAGTTTTTGTCAAGCGACATTTATTTAGATATACAACTACATCCCTTTTTAATTTCTATAAATGGTTGTTATAGATAACTATATTTATAAATACATGAATACTTGGTTATGTACAACTACATATTCAATTAGTTTTACTTTGGTTGTTAACTATGTAGACGTATATATTAAAATATGTACGTCTAAGCAGATCTTATGTTGGACATGCACAGGTAGACTGTATAAGGGTCGGTTTAACTTGACAAGCATTTAATACATGTCAGTTCAATTGTACTTTTGTGTCAAAAGTCAAACCCGCTTCTCCCACGCGCAAGACCAAAAGTGAGACTGGTTTTCTTGTAAATATTTTGAAATCTATATCCAATTGTATATTTTATTTGACCATTGTTCCCTACAAAAAGCCACTAATGTCTATTACCTAATTTACTCCCCCAATAATACCTCTGCACAAATTCACTCAAATTAAAATAGGATGACTTGGATGATGATGTGGACACCCTAGATGGAGAGATAACTCTCCCATTATATATATAGATTACCATTTTTTCTTAATCCTTTAGTCCTTGTAAAACAATCATCGATGAAGATCATAACAATGAATTAAACTCTTCTCTCTTCTCCTTTCTCCTTCCCTTTCTTCTTCTTCTCAACCCCAAATTCTTCTAAATCTCATCACCTTCTGTTACTTCTTTGTTAAGCCATTTTGGTATTTAACAAATTGGTGGTTTCATTGAGAGTTGAAGATGGCTCCAACGACTCAAGCTGCTCATTACGTCAAATCCCCCATGGCGGAGCTCGCTGAACGAATTGATAACCTCTCCACAACGGTGGCTGAACACACAAGGCAGTTCGTTGAGAAATGTAGGAGACACGAGGAAGAGATGCGTGAACAAGGTAAGTGGCACGAGGAGATGATGCGTTAGTTTCGAGATCACTTGGCGTCACATTCCCCACTTGCCGAACCAACTCCGATGAAGAATCTAGAAAATCATGAGCTCCATCAAGCCACAACGACAAGATCGGAACCCACACCGACGAAAAAGCCAGAAAACTCTCTAGGGACTTCTATCGAACACTTGGTGGGCATTCCATTTCCAGAAGCTTCGTTCAATCCTTGGGTCTTTGAGACTCACGCAGGGAAGGAAGAATCCCTGTTAAACGAAGATATCATAAGGTCAGAAAGAAGATCACACGGAAGAGACTTCACGAAATCGTACCTGCAACACAAATCAACACACGTTCCATGAAAAACTATGGTAAAGGACCTCGATCTCCTTTAATTGAGTCTAGATTTCGATCCCAACAGTTGTTATACCAGCAGATCCAAGACGATGCTAGAAGAGAACCTTCCTCTGGATATGATGTGTCACATTCTCAAGAACTTAGTGACGGGTTTGAGGATAGGAGAGAAATAGGCAACAATTTTCATAGAACAATTCCTCAAATTGCTAGTGATAAGGTATGTGATGACTTTAATGCTGAACGTGTTGAGTTGAGTCGCTGGAATGTTGCTCACAAAGAAGATACCAAGTGGAACGTTTACAATGAGCCTAACGGAACGATGCAGCAGATGGTTAAGGAGCTAATGTGTTCTTCAACAGGCGTGGAGTATGAGATATCAAGATGCTCTGCAAACGACTTGATAACATGGATAAACAATTGGGAGACTTACTTATGTGAGAGTAAAACTCCCCAGACTCAGTGGTTGCCAATAGTTTATTCACACTTAGAAGGAGCTAGCGACTGGTCATTGGATCAAGAGTCTATGGAAAAAGAATTCACCTACAAGTTGGAAGGAATTCAAGTGCATGTTAGGACAAGAGACAAAGATAACCAGGGAAGTTGCTAGAGAATTGTGGGGTCAAGACATGGATGGTGTGGATGTTAAGAGATCTAGAGCTCTCCACATCCATATGGGTTTAAGCACTAATTCTCGAGGTAATAATCTCCACCACAATGTTACTGATTCAGTCATGATGGAGAGAAATGGTATAATCAGAAATGGGTCAATGTTTTGGACCAATTCTGCGAAGGCATGGGAACAAGTTAGCTCGGACGCTCACGAACTAAGGGTTGGTGCTGAGAGTATAAGAGTGTTATGCATTGGATTTAGAGAAATAGCTCCTCAAAATACTATAGAGGCAGTGCCATATGTACTACCTGCACGTGAAGTCCAAGAAACACAATCACTAGGAGCTACTAGAGGAAGAGAGATCTCTCAAGCACATTCACAAGAATTTAATGGAGTGAAAAAGGGAATAATAGGTCCAGTAATAGAGGGAACTCTCAAGCGAGCAAGACAGTCAAGATACTTAGGGATTTTTCAAGAGAGGACAGTGTCAGAATACTGGACAAGGTTTGAAAAACTTTGTCTTAATTCTATGACTTTACCGGGACAACATGATGTATAGTGTTTTTGACAGTTTCGAGTCTTGATTTAGTCCATGTTTTGAGTCGTTTGTCGTGTCGTAGTCCATCTTTTGCGTCTTTTCGGTTGTGTCTTGAGTCTTTTGCTGGTTTTAGGTGTTAAAGCGGGACACGAATGTTTTTGGGACTTATCAGGCTCATTTGGACCAGAAACGATCGCTGGAATCAAGAAACCAGTGTTGGCAACATTGGATCGATCGATCCCAGGAGGGGATCGATTGATCCAACTCTCATCGTCGAAGCAAAAAGCATCCGCCAGCATGGGATCGATCGATCCCGCCTATGGATCGATCGATCCACCCTCTTGACGACTCAGTCCGGTTTTCCTTAACCGGTTTATCTGTCTTTTTCTGTATTTGGGTATAAAAACCCCAGGAACCTAATTTTTCTATTGACGTTGTTTTTCTGCAATTTTTCTGAGACTTCTCATTTGTAAGCACACTTGGGATTAAAGATTCATCCTCTTTGACAATTTGGAGAAGATTTCTAAACGTTTATCTCTTTTATTCAATTGAACCATGTTTTCTTTCATATCTATTTGCGTTGTTTTTATTGCTATGTGTGAGTAGTTCTCCAATTGGGTTTTAAGATTCCAATTAGGAGATTCAATGGATTAATGGATTGATTGTATTAGGAATTCTCATTCTCTAGGTTCTTTGATTCACATGTTCTTAATGCTAGAATAAGATTGATCACCCTGTTGTAGATTCTAGGTTTTTCTATGCATCAAAAGTGTTCGATAGAATGCCTGAAAGAATGTGAATTGAGCAATGTATTTCTAGCCAACGAAAGTTGAAGTTAGGACGCATTGTGAACTTAATGAACTTGTTTGATAATGCGAATTTGACTAGGAAATTACATGCGAAAGTTTAGTAATCGAGTAGTCAAATTTAGTGATTAATGTTTTGAAAGAGAATTAGTCTAGTTGTGTTCATGTTCGAGAACGGTTCGTAATTATTGAATTCCTTGTCTCATGTTTCCATTGTTTATTGATCTCTGAAATACCCTAACGCCCAATGTCTTTAAATCTTGAAGTTAAATCGTTTAATTAATTTGCATTTTTATTTTACAAACTGAAAACCAAAACAAGCAATCTTTTTAGTTTTAGCTAAGAACAAGTCTCGGAAATCCTTAGAGTATCTTTGTTCCTTGTGGATCGACCTCGAATATACTGCCTAACGGTTAGATATATCGAGTAATTACTCGAGCAATCACAACACTTGGAGGAGATATTCTTACAAGGTTTAAAGCCTGAGTTGCAAGCTGCAGTTAGGCATCTCCAACCTAATGGGATTGTAAAAATGATGGATTTAGCACAATGGCTAGAAGAAAGTAACAAAATCATCGTCTCAAGAAGTTTATCGTAAGTGAGAACAGAACCGTATGGCTACCAATCGACACATGCAAAGCTAATGAGTCTTACCATGGTGCAAGGTATTACGAATGATTCGGGGGATAAGCTGGCTGGGGTAAAGAAGGAATACGAATACAGGAATGAGCTGGAAGGTTTCAAAGAGGATCTTAATATCTTGAGACGGGGTAAAGAGAAGTCAGTGACAGATTTAACCAAGAACAAATGTATGAGATTCAATGGCTTCATCTCAGGTCATAAGGTTGTTGTATTTATCGACTCAGGAGCTACAAATAATTTCATGTCAGAGAGATTGACAACTCAACTCAAGCTTTCAGTTATGGACTCAAGTATAATTAAGGTGTCTTTGAGCTATGGGCTATCTAGTAACGTCAAGGGAAGGTGTCAAGAGATTGCTTTGCAAGTTAAAGACATCCAAATTGTGGAGAGTTATTACTTGTTGGAGTTGGGAAGTATGGAGGCTGATGTGATTCTAGGGTATGAGTGGCTCTCAAAGCTGGGAGAGACAGAGGTTAATTGGCAGGATCATACCTTCTCATTTATCCACAACCATAAATGGGTCACTTTTTGTGGTAAGAATGAAGATCTTAAGCAAGGTACTACAAAGGTGAAGATGAGGAATGAAAATGAGCAAGCTGAGCAGAAGGATGCTGGTGGAATGGTTGATGAACACTACCTTGAGGACAAGGTAGCTTTAAAAGGGGTGAGTAAGGAGATGTGGGGAGGAAGCGCTACTGAGATACAGTGGAAACAGAATGTGAGTGGTGAAACTCAAGAGATCACTAGAATCATGTTAGTCAACCTCAATAAGCTGATAATTTTCACCTATGATGTGTCTCACTCGCCAAGGCTTCCAGATATGTCATGTGGGAACAAGATGGTATCAGAAAATCCAAAGGCAACCCGTGACATGAAAAAGAAAGCGTGGATCACTCTTTGCTGTAAGTTACCTTCTAAGGACTCTTTCTCACATTTTGCATTACTTGAGAAAGAGTCAAAAGTTTGGCAGCACGATCATTACGTCCAATGGACAATGAAGAAAGATGAGCTCAATAGTTCTGGAATATCTTCGAAGATGCAGAATAATGTTACTAAGGGCGGCGAGTTTCCGGAGTGGTTTGTCTGTAAACCGACTTCACCATTAGAGGAGCAATATGCGTTAGAAATACAAGCTGAGGAGAAAGGTGAGAAGCAGTTTGAACTGACACTAGAGGAGTCTGATGCGTCCTCTAACGGCAAGAAGAAGGTTGTTGGTGCGGGTTCAACAAAAGCTAAGGTCTCCTTAGTCCTTCCATGGCTTTGATTTCCTACCACCTTGAGGACAAGGTGATTCTTCACCGAGGGAGTATTGATAGGATCACGATTGGGCCTAATGGGCTTCGTACTTGACTTATGGTTTAGCCGTTGACTTTAGTAATTGTTTCTATTTAAGAGTGCCTTAGTCCTTGTAAAACAATCATCGATGAAGATCATAACAATGAATTAAACTCTTCTCTCTTCCCTTTCTTCTTCTGATTTCTTCTTCTTCTCAACCCCTAACTCTTCAAAATCTCATCACCTTCTGTTACTTCTTTGTTAAGCCATTTTGGTATTTAACAGATAGTTTAGTCTTTAGGGCTTTTCAGTCTTGTAGGATCTTACGTAGGCTTGTTCATGCCATCGTGTAACTTGTGAGAGCCGCTTAATACTTGTTAGAAAAGAATTTGGATAATGAACATATAGAGAAAATCTTATTAAATAAGGTTGAAAGCTTTTCACAATAACATTGTCGCATAGAGTTAACCATTTTGTAAGATTTTGATATCAAGACAACAATGATTAGAACTTGGCGACCTTGGAACCAGCCAATCCACGACTGAATTTGGTTCTGTAATCCGTTGGCAAAATTGACTGCTTATCAGTAATGGTCAAGTCCCGCTCACGGAACGACTAAGGCGAATACATATTAAAAGCACATGTAAGAAATCGATACCGGCTTCACTCAGTGAGGCAGTTTACCCCACACATCCCCACCATAATACATCATCGGTCTTTCTGTTAAATTAGATAAATACAAGATCAAGGTGGGGACATATGTATATCGGGGCGAAAAAATGATCATATACCACTATACCAGACAATCGCAAATATTTAAGTTTATATTTGTATACAACTTTCCTTACAAGTCTTAAACTCACCAGACAAATCAATAGATGGGTCATTGTATAGATGCATTGCAGCTGCCCAACCTATAATCAGGATAGTAAAGTGCTTTAAATTGAGACACAACACATATACAAATCAAGTACTTGCATTAAAGATGGCACTAGAACTAACTCTGCTAGGATCAGAAACTGAAACTTGCTTGATTTCTCACTGAATCGTAAAAACGCAAACCGAATGAAAGAACAATCTAGAAACCTAAATCAAAGAAATTGTAACCAATATAGAGCATCCTAACACTCCCCAAGCCTCTCAATGTCCTAAACCAGACTCAATTACTCAACCCCTTGCCACATCTCATAGTGTTTGGCAAGTATTCGATATTACTCGTCAATCTCCTGATTCATTCTATCTTAAGCGTAGTACACAAGTGGCACATAAATACTAACTACACTTGTATCTAGTCGAGTAAAAAGGTATCGATGTAAAAGCAAGGCTTCCGTAATTTATTAGAGAACTAGCAGAAAGTGAGATACAAAACAGAAGCCATAATATAATCAAACACGTAAATTCAGAATACGTACGATCACTGAGAAGCTGAAAAGCTTCACTCCTAGAGCAACCCTCTAGAGATATAATCTTTGGAGAAGAGTTTTCCCTCTGGAAACCAACAGCAACAGGCTGACTGCTCTCGCCCTCATTACTATGGAAGCTTCCTGTTCGATTCAAATTCAGCTCAATTTACCCTTACTTTAATCAAGAACACACATTACAAGCAAAAATGGTTGAAGCTTCTATTAGTTGCTAACTAAATTCTTAAAAAGGGCTCTTTTACATGCAAGATAATGAAATTTTCCTGAAAACTCCAGATTACTCAATACAGTGACTACAAAATCATCAAAGAATTTGAATTATAGGTTTAGAGACCATCTTTTGAAAATGGTTCTTAAGGAAACCAATCAAGCACAAAGCAACTTGGTTACAGATTTCACATTCAACTAAGTGGACCAAGTGTCTGTCTACACAATGAGATAAGCTCTATTCCTCTAAATTCGCTATTCTAATTGAGAAGAGAGAATCTACGAACCTCTTGATCTCCTCCGGTTCGAAGAACGGTTCCTGTGAGCGAGGCAGAGAAGGAATCAGAGAAATCAATCGAAAGCAAAAGAGAAGGAGAAGAAGAAGAGACGTAACCTTTGGTTAGGTGGAGTGTATCGTTTAGGTCCGGAGGTTGAATCCACCATAGAAGATGATGAGTTTGGGTTCTGCATCTCCTTCCAATGGAGATCTCTGTCAAACACTCAAACTCTGCGTCGAGGTCGTCGAATTCTCAACCGCATTTTCTTAACGCCTTATTTGACGTTTGTTATGCGCAAACCGAATGAAAAATTGAACCTAATCGAACCGGAAATTTTATTGTTGGGATCGGCAGGATTTGAAATTTTGTGATACCACCAACTGACATGTTGGTATCAGTTTATAGAGAACAATTATTTTACATGTTGAAGTTCTAATTTCGGTATCAATCTTAAACTCCTCAAAACAAGATTGAACTACCTTGAAGAAGATGAGTGACTGACGCTAATTGCAACTCCTCAAAACAGACTTTCGAAATAGTAAAGACTTTTGAAATAGAGGAAAGTAGAGTTTTGTTTTTGATGTTGGTAATTTGATGTCATTAAATCATGTTACTGATTAACTTTTTGTATTTTTGTTAATCACATGATCTTTCTAATTTTATTTCACCAATTCACCCAAAAAGCAACTGATCGCACGTAGATACATGATATAATTATTCAAGATCAATGTTTCCTAGACATTTGATTTGGTGGGGCTATTCAGCCACTAAGATCAGGCTGTGATCAAAGCCAGCGACTGTTTGAAGAACACAACCCTCTATGTCCTCTAACAACATTGGTTCAGGCTCATCGCTCGAGCTTCCTAAACCAAGCCTACCATTCTTCCCACAACCCCAAACCCAAGCTTCTCCTTTCTCTGTTACACACAAGGAATGCACACGTCCTGCTGATACTGAAGCTGGACTTTCCCCATCAAAACCTTCTACTTCTCTTGGCAGGTGTTCCGGTTTTCCCCTACCAAGCTGCCGGCTACGGTTCCAACCCCATGAGAGAATCTTTCTTTCATCTCTGTTGCAGATAGCTAGTGAATGACCAAGACCAGCTGCAATAGAGATCGGGGATTCAGTTATGTCAACAGGTGTCATTCCGAGGTCTTGTTTAGACCGACCCAACTGACCATAGATGTTGCTCCCAGAGCTCAAAAGTGTGCCATCATCTGAAATCAGTAAAAACCTATCAGACACTCTCTTTCTTTAATAAATATTTTTCCCATAGTATAGAAGGGTCTCGTTTACTTACGACAAAGGATCAAGGAGTGATCGGAACCGCACGCAATATCTGCTACCTTCACGTTACGTGTTTCTTCCACCAGACAAGGTTCCCACGCTATTGGCATATCGTTCTCCTTGCTCATTGCTTCCACAACCTTCTTTTCAGCAGCTTCAAGATTCAAATCTGCAGCGTGTTGATCTTTCATGGACCCATCTGTAATTGAATCTAACAGAGATGCTTCAAGTGGAAGTCCAACATTGCCTACTCTTCCATCAGCTACATAACCCCATCCAAAAACTTTACCATCCACAGTAAGCGCAAGTGCGTGCCCCCAACCTAATGATACCTATCAAAATGAACCCGCTTCCTATGAAAAACTCAAGAGCGTTTTAAATCTGATTATACAAAGAGTTGGTACCATACCTTCACGACGTGCTCTGCAGCTAAAGTTTCAACTCTCGAAGGAACTCGAGCTTCAATGATACCTTTTCCAAGCCCAAGCTGCCCTCTTTTAGATCTTCCCCAGACCCACAAAGAGCCATCATCTCCGATAGCCGCTGAAACAACTCCAGAAGCAAACGCAGCCCGGACATTCACATTATCTAGACCTTCCACTCTCTTCGGTTCACTCCTTGAATCTCTACTAATCACATCAATAAAACTTCAGGTATAGTAGCATAAGAGGCCTACCAAATTCTAAATGATACATCTCAAACTAATCTCACTAACTAACACATAGCATCCATTTGTCACTCAATAGGCAAATTCAAGTTCCATCACTGCTTTTGTTGAAATCAATTTAGCAAAATTGGGTTCTCAGATTGAGATTTTACCCAGAATCAACAGCGATCCGACCGAGCTGGCCTTCATCATTGCGACCCCAAGCCCAAATCTCACCGCCAAATGTAACGGCAAGAGAATGATAGTGTCCGGCGGATATGAAAGAGATATCGGAAGGCAAATTAGAAACAACGGTGGGTTCGTAAGCGTCCATTCCCATGCCTGGAATCGACGATGATGAGAGACCAAGAGCGCCATGGTTTCCGTCACCGAAGCTCATCACTGTTCTTCTTTCGCCTCTAGTGCTCGTGAATTGTCGTCTGACAAGTCCATTGAAGAGACCGTCTCTGCAGAAGAGGGATTCGGAGGTAGAAACTTTCCTGACCTGTACTTTCGCTATCGACCATAATCGAAGCATATCGCCGGGGAAATTGACGCGACGGAGAAAGAAAAGTTTTCATTATGTAAGTGATTCCGGCATCTTGATGAAAGAAACCGACAAAAGTTGTAAACACACATTTATTTTGACGTTGATGTGTGGTTTAGTGCTCTTTCACCTGCCCGAGCCCAAATGACCGATCCGGATATCCATAAATTTCAAAATATTCCGATCAGAATTTTGTACTCCAAATCTCCAATGGAGGTGCTCGACATCTTAATCCCATTTATACTATGCATTTATGTGATACTATAACATTATATCTCTCCATATAATTACAGGATATTCAATATTTGTATCAATCTATATTTATTACTGTATATAATATTCTTGTTAATAAAAATGCAGCATTTATAGTTATATAGCATATGTGATCTAACATTCAACATTCAGTTGATTAAGTATACTCCTCACAAACTTGTTACTGACCCCTAGTTACCAGTTAGTGCCCATGAACCAAACAGTCTTGTAAACACTATCATCATGACTCTACAAGTCAACCCAATGAAAAGAAATATCGATATCTGATGTTGTACATCTTCATCCTTATCTTGCACAAACACTATTCTATTCTATTAGGAAGTTGCTAAATAATGTGCACCTGACATTTACAATATAAATTTTTTCCGGTAGTCTTTGTGTAAGTAGACTTCGACAATCTTGTTCATGATTTCTTTTGTAACAGTACAGTATTTCTGTTGAACAAGAAGGTGATTTGAAGTACACTCTATACGGTGTGATAGTTCATGAGGGTGAATTGATCAGTTCGGGTCACTACTACCGCAATGTTCGCACTTCAAGTGCATGGCAAGGCAATACCAATTGGAGTGCCAAATTGAAACAGAGCAAGCTAGGTCTTCGTCGTGAGCAATGGCTTTCTCAAGGTAATGATCATTATAAAAGATCTACTATCTTTACATGATTGGAATTTGTTTATATTGATTCGGGTTTTTGTTTATTAGTTGCGATGATTAATAAAGGGGGATAAGGAGGAAATGGATGAAAAACATGATCAGAGAGATCGTCCTATGGAGAATTAGAGATTGGAGATACGTATAATGAAATGGAGAAGAAGAACTAGGGCTTTACCTACTTATTGTTCAGCGGAAAAAGTAGTAAATTTAGTAGGTGTATCAAGTGTAAAATGGGTGTATAAAAACATTATTTAACAACTATTAAATTTGCCAAAAAAAAAGACAAATTGATTATTAAGTATTTCATGATTCATTACTATATTGTTTTTTGAAAGCTAATAAATGTATGATCTTTCAATTTTCATACAACTAGGTGAGTACCCACACTACGTGCTGGCTTTCACTTTATATTTTATAATTATAAGTATATAAATGTAAACATTAGGTTAGTTTTTGTTAATAGGTAAGAAGACAAAATTTCCCTTTTAAACGAGATTACCCTAATACTAAGCATATAAATGTACTTTTTTTTTTTTGCATTTATATTTAGATTCCTAATAAAAAACTGTTCTCACTACACATTATCTTTTTATAATAGTATTTCAGTACTGTTATCCTTAAACCAAAAGAAGAAGACGAAAATGCAAGAAGATTAGAGTACCGGCACTAAAATCAATGATCATGGTATTTAGGTACAAATGTTAAGTATTTGCTCAAAAAAAAAAAAAAAAAAAAGGTACAAATGTTAAGCATTGATAATTGGGCTGTCGTTTCGTTTGAACAACGATATTATTAGTTTATAGCAAATAAACAAATAGAACCAAACCTTGATAAGCCTTATTGATTTGTCGAAACATAAATGTAAAATAATTCTCGTCTTTAAATTTTTATCGTTGCCACTTTTGCAAAAACAACTAAAACAATACGAACTCCATCACTGAAGAACTCCATCATTGAGGATTTTAGTCTAATAATTTGATGTTAGAGGTTCTGACGTTCTCCTCACCATTTTTTAATATATTATATAGAAAAGTTTTTAAGAGAATAACTTACTCAAAAAATTCCAGAGTATGAGAAACCCCAATAAAATAATTATATTGAAGAAAAATAAATAATAATTAAATATAATTAGTATTAATACAATTAAATATGTTAATTTTTATAATATGTATAATTAAATAATACATGTTCCACTAACTTACATTAATTATTAGTGGACACATGTCAAATGCTAAAGTGATGATGTGTCACTCATATGGAGAGAGTTGGCCAACTTTCATATATATGATTTTCTAAATATCCATCATATTGATTTTGAATATATCAATTTTAAAACTGAAATATCCATCATATTGATTTTTAATATATCAATTTTAAAACGGAAATGTTTATAAAATTTTAAATATGATTAATCTTAAACATTTTCTAGCTAAAATTCATATTATATTATTATGTATAAATTTATATTTTTTTTTGTTTTTTACTTATAATATTAATTCATTTGTATTTAACCTAAATATTTTCAATCATAAATAACTATAAATAAAAATAAATATGTATTGAATGAACATTTTAAATAAACTATAATTTTTAATTTTTAATTCAATGCATGCTTATGTGGATGATAATGTGGATAGCCTAGATGGAGAGAAAACTCTCCTATTATATATATATATATATATATATATATATATATATATATATATATATATATTTAGACATAGACATCTCTTACTAATAAAGATACTAATTGAAACTTCTCAAGCCATCCACATCAACTATTTCTATAATACTCTTTCTACTTGCCACATCAGCGTCGAAAAAAAAAACAAGACGTCACTCTAACTGATCGTCTTCCACAAAT